ATAACCCACATCCCCCGAGGCCGCCTTACCTCCCGAATCTCCTGGTTCTCGACTATACACCTCGTCGTGCCATTGATCGTAATAGGTGGCGCTTCAGTTGAGGCCACCTCAGACAGAGGTGACACGAAGAGGCGGAATTCTGGTAGGGCCAAAAAAGAGCGGTTGAAGGAGACCGCATGAAGGGCTTCCATCAGCCTGAAGATTTCCCATCATCACCACCCCCTAGACCCCCACACCTACGCCTCTTCAACGAAGTCTCTGAAGTCCTGGCCTGTCGGGGAGAACTCCAAATGACTATCAACCTCCTGCCCCTCCCCCGTCACGAAAGTGCAATCTATGATCTGAGATCATGACCATGCGGTCTTCCCAGAGAGTGTCACTAAACTCACAAAGATCGGTCTTTCATCAGCCGGCGCGCTCCCCAAGGCCTCGAACATGCCCGGCCTGTACGGTTGTGATAGAATGCTCTTCACCGCTCGAGACCCGTCGGGTGGCGCCTCTCCAGATAGCCTCCGTTGCTCATCCCTCTCCGCTTGCTTCATGTATTGCTCCAGAAGGGCCAACAACCCCTCCGTAGATCGGAAGCACAGGGCCTCCACAGAGTCCGCAAGGATGTACTCACACGTACCTGCCCGTCACCATCATCACTACAGCATCACATCGGTCAAAACTCACGTATGAACTTGACCAACTTTCGGCACTTAGTTCGAGTAGTAGCCTGCTGAGTATAGCTAAGATAATAATCAGGTTCTGAAAACAAGATTCAGATTAGGTCCGATTGAAGGCCACCCCACCCACCAAGCGCATCATCCTCATCCTCTCCTCCATCTACACCTTCTTGTAACAGCCTGAACACATCCCGCAGCTCCTTAGAGTGATTGAATCCATTAGCCTTGAGGAAATCCGACAGAGACGTAGCGCACGCTTTGAGGACCTACACCCACCCCCTATAGGAGCCACACCAAGTAGTCACGTTACCGTCATCTTCAGCCTCTCTCGAGCTCCGTCCAAGTTCCTGGACAAAGTTCGCCTATGGACAACCTGTGCCTCGTTGAACTCCTCCACTCGACAGGAAGTCCCTCCGGCGCCCTTTATGGGGAGCGCTGTGGCTTCTGCTATCGGCCACTTGGGCAGCTTCTTAGCATGTCGGCCTCTACTGTGTTCACTCAGCGTGACTGTCTTCACTCCAGGTTTCGTCGTGGGTGTGGTAAGGTCCAGAAGGCCCCAACCGGAAATATCCACACATTCACTACGGACGGCCAGCAGCGCATCCCGCAAAGTCGGGTTCAATATGAACAACGATTTGCCGAGCATATCTAAGAGGTCGGAATGGAAGATTCAAAGTAGGCCCAATTGTGGTCACCCCGGCACCGCTGAATCTTCTCTTTCACCACAGTCGTCCTCCACACTGTCACAAATTTCCATTTCGGGAACTTTGCGAAAAACGGAATCTTCATTATCCTCCTATACAAAACCTCATCCTCTTGCCATTCATGTAGAGGCGTAAACTCAATACATCTACGCCGGAAGGAGGTGATTCCTCGCATACCTACAGCGACCAACAGCTTCGCTCCGCTCCGCCTCCCCCTAACACTCACTGATCGTCGAGTAGTCGTAAGGATCTATGTCCGCAAATGACACTATTTTCAGATCGTAGGGGCCTTCACACCTACAGCAAGTCCAATGAGGTGCACGCCGAGGAAAACCCATCAGTTGACGAGATTTGGCCTAGTGCGTTCAACTTCAACCTTCGTGAGTATTCTTATTGCAAACGCGCGGTTGTCACCAAACCACAACTTCTATTGCTCATCGATTCAATCACATACCAGCCCGGGAAACTACACGCTTAGTACACGGCCTACTCAAAATACCACTAAAAACACCCTATGGCCGCCGCGAACTTCACAGACTCTCACAGGATAGGCCCAGCTCATTATTTCACAGCCCAGTCCTACCGAGTCATGTAGCAGAACTCATCGGTCGCAGTGTCACGAGTGAGTAGGTACTTGATGAAGTCCTTCGGTCCCGACCACTGACCTTCCTTCGGCTTTTCCTCCGGCTCCTGAGCGCTACTACTAGACCCTCCCACCACACTGTTTTCCCTCACCTGTATACGGCAGGTCTTCACCACACCCGTGGGGCCCCTCAGCCTCTTAAATCGGCTCTTGGGCACCGCCCGAGGTGGCCTCTTGTATGTCCCTGCTATCCTTGCTTTGCCCCAAGAAAACTTTCTTTCACTTCCCCCTTGCGTCACTATCGGTCTGACATTCGTATGGGGCATCACCAAGCCTGGCCCTCCCGAGCCTCGCCTCCCCCCAAGCTGTCGGAAGGCGGACGCCCCCTTGGGAGGTAGAGTATTAACGGCAGCGAGCCGAGCCATAAGCCTAGCTCGGGTCTCGTCGGGATCGGGTGGGCCTTTAACCAGAGAGATATCCTTCATAGTGAGATGAACTATATAGTTGACAATGACGTCTGTACTACCGTTGCTAGTGATTATGATATCCCCTCAAATTGACAACGCGATGATAGTAATAACAGCTGGTCAAGAGACAACACAACATTTACAGTAGACTTCTTATACCGGCACATAGTCTACATTCACTTTACTGTCGGCCGTAGTACTGCAATTTCGAGCTCACTACACATCTCGTAAAGTTGATGATCGAGGTCATCGTTGCTATGGAAGCTCAGGGGTAAGAGCATGAGTGCATGTGGTGCGGAGGTGCATCAGCAGACATACTTTCCATGAAAGGAGGACAACAACCCAACGTTAATGGGTGCGTTCGAGGGCCTGGAGGGGCTCCTGGAGTCCAGCACGAGGGTAGTCAATGCCGATCGATGGCATTGACACCATCTCCCATGGGGAAGTCTCAGTTTCCAACTGGCGCTGACCTCACCATCCTTAATTTACTGTGCCAAGAATCAATTGGACGAAGCCTTGTATGTCATGACGAAGCTTGGAGACCAATGAATCGATTCGGATCCCATTTAGATTGACGATTGTCACTGTCATACAAGGTATGATCCCTAGGGGTACTGCTTTCCCAGGGGGGTGGCGAACTCTGAGGCTGTAGCGACATCAGAAGGGCACTTGGATTCACCGGTATCGATACTACAACGTCGAATCTCAGCTGCCATCCTCATACTCCATGGACGAGGTATGCCAGGGCAGAAAATACCTATCAATCAAACCGAGTACCATCGCACTTCACCTTTCCTGGGGGTATTGGTACTGTAGCATGATATCGGTTTCAATAGCTGCACACAACTGCAGCCCCACCAGAACCGACACCACAGGAAAGGGAAGAGATGACCTATCGCCATGCTCCTTATTAGGCAATATATTACTAGTCTTTATCAGTCAATCAGCACCTGTTGAGGTTGGTCAGAAAAGCGATACCGAACCTCATAGACGACTCTGAGGTTGGGAATAAGTTTACTGGGCATTTAATACGCGCTTGTATGCTGGGGTGACTCGTCGTGGGGTTTCGAAAAGAAAAATTATAAAATTTCAAATAAACCCTCGAACGGAATTTACCCAAGAACTCGATAATAACAGAGTTATGCATGTCCAAGCCGTTCGAGCCCCTGTTAGTGTTGTCGGGATCAGTTTTCGTGCATATTACATGCACTTAGGTCAAATAATTTCTTCGCCTCGGTGATCGATTTAGCTGCCCGTTAGACCCCCAGGTGGAGAACTACCCCCTCTACTACAGCAATGGAGACCGACCCGAAGATCCTCGAAGCGAGAGCTCAGCTCCGTGCCAAGCTCGGTGATGGTGCCCAGCGTGCCGGCGGCAGAGGTAATTAGAATCAGCAGTAGCTCAGTTTCATCGGGCTTGCGACACGACTCGAGCCGACCTTAGTTGCTCTCGGCTGCGCTATATGGAACACGATGGGTCTCAGGCTCCGCCCGTCTTAACAGGAAGGCCGTCCACCGTGGCTCTAGTGCTGCTAGCGATGATAAGAAGCTCTTCGGCATGCTAAAGCGACTAGGCTGCCACGAGATTCCCGGTAGGTTTGTGACTGACTGGAAACCGGAAGGATCATCAATTTAGGCATCGATGAGGTCAACATGTTCAAGGCTGACTCCAATATTATCCATTTCGAGAGGCCTAAATGTAAGTTGGAGTGCTAGGGGAGCTCGAGTGACTGGTGTCCTGGTCAGTCCAAGCCGCTATCGGTGCTAACACCTTCGTCGTCTCGGGCGGTAACGTTGCCGAGAAGACTGTTGATGAGCTCATGCCCGAGATCATCCCCCAGCTCGGCCCTGAGAACGTCGCTATGCTCAAGGAGATCGCCAACCAGATGAGGCTCGCCCAGGAGGCTCAGCAGAAGAGCCAGGCTAAGGCGGCTGACGAGGAGGTCCCTGAGCTCGAGGGAGATTTCGAGGAGGCTTCCAAGAAGGAAGAAAAGAACTAAATTGCCTTGCGGCTGACCAGTTGTGTCTTCTCGGTTTCCTCAGCATTATCATCGTTGAGTCCAATCACAGTGTAGTGGGAATGGTCGTAGTTTTTCAAAATGGCAATAACTTCTCCGAAACGGTTAGAATCATCCCTGGGTGGTGGTATGTCTCGGTCGACCTACATTCGTATCTACATCAGCTCCTGTCTGCTGGGTATCATCATAACATGGTTACACTCTAGTAAACGCTGTAGCTGCTGATCTCGC